AAAAAAAAAAACAAGAAGAAAATACAGATTCCTTCAGGGGTTGGAAGTAATGGTGGCCACAAAGCTCAAAAAACGTATTTACCATCACAAAATTCTTCATGTAGAAAAGATGATGAAACACACATATGTATACATGTATAAGTATGTATGTATATATGTGTGTGTTAATCATATTAATATTTATTTTATCTTCCAGAAGAGGGATCTACAGTACTTTCCCAAAACATGTACTTAATAATCAATTGGAACAGTTCCCATGAAAAATGTTCTGAGCTCAGTGACCAGCAGCCACCATTTTCTTTTTGTTCACTTTTTTTCATTTTCAGCACCCAAATATGTCTTGTGTTCAAATATCATTGAATAATAACATAATGACTTGAAAATTAAATGAGAAATGTTTGTGGATTTGAGTCCAAAAATAAATGTATTTGAATGCTCTGCCATATATGCATGTTCAGCAAAGACAGGGTCTCCTTGTAGTTACAGCTAATCTGATATTTGTTCACTAGCCCAGCAGGCTTTCCTGGATCTCAAAGATCCACCTGCACTCTGGAGTGCTGGAATTAAAGGCATGAGCCACCATGCCCAGTCCTCACTTCTTTTATTATTTAATCAAATTGCAAATACAGCATTTGAAGTTAAGTTAGAAAGCAGTTACTAGTGATCATTTACAAAGAAAAAGCACAAAAATGAAAGTTTTCCTTTGTGAGCTTATATTAAACATATAAAGATACTTTAGACTTTCAGAGAACAAGTATTAGAGAACTTTTTTGCAATTATTCTGGAAGTAATATTTCGATATCTACATAGCTTTCCTTCAATACATTCTCAAATTTAGGTCAACTTGTTATCATTTTCTTAATTTTCTCTTTAATGACACTATATTAGAACATATGACATGGGTAAATTCATTTAAAATTTGATTCAATTGAACAGGTTTTTGGTTTTTTTTGTTTTTTTTTGTTTTTTGTTTTTTTTTTTTTTTTGATACAAGGGTGTCCCTATAACCCCAGCTGGCCTGGAATTCCCTACATAGACCAGACCAGACTGGCCTTAATCTTACGTCGATCTGCCTGCCTCTCACTCCAGAATTCTGGAATTAAAGGCAAGTGCCACATGCCTGGCTTAACTGAACACTTTTTATAAGATCTATAAGCAATGTGATAGTCACAAACTACAAAAAATATGTGATTGATCTTGTTTATAGTGAGTAAACCAGTTCACTGTTTTTTCAAGAAAAAAAATGGGAAAGCAGCAGTTTGCTTTAAAAAGAAAATGTGGTAAGTTTTTAAGAAGATGTAGATAAACCATTACATGCTGAGCACTAGCACATCTTGTCATTCTGACAGAAAGCAGTGAAATGATTTTTTACTTAGCCAAATTGTTCATTCCTTTCAGGCTAGCTGCGTCAACTTTGGTGATTTTGTTCCCATCAAGATGCAGTTCAGTAAGGGAAGAAGGGAGACCTGAATATGCAAAAGAAGAAGATGCTGAATTAGCAAATAAACATAATAAATATAGATCATAGAACAATTCAAATTCTAAATTCATAATTTTAAATAATTTCATCTTTTTTCCTTTTCTTTTTATTCTTTTAGGAAAATATATGCTTTTATAACAAGTTAAGTCTATACTAGATTTTTCTTAGGTGGACTTTGATAAAATTATGCACTGTTTTAATCAATTATTAGATTTTTGTGCTAGTAACCATAGAATGGAAGACAAGCACACCTCACTGGGCCTGTACATTCTGTTCCTGTGTTAATGAGCTAACGTTGTTTTTAATATGCACAGTTCTTGATAAAAAATGAGATGGACATTTGAACTCTAATGGAGAGTTATACTCTGTTAAGCCTATATATACATGTAGCCTGATGTTTTATTTTTGAGAATAGCTAACACTGATATGTCGTGCTGACCCTTAGAGGCAACTTTTCTATAAGAGCATCAGATGTCTCTGCACTGGGGTCGTAGAGCATGAACTAAGGCTTACACAGACCTATTAAGTCCAGACTGCTTTCATACAAGAAGATCGTAGAGGTCTATATTCCAATGACCTACCACATGTAAAGCACCTGGGGGAAATAATACACAATCCAAAAGATTCACTAACAATCCATAAAACTTTGTGAGTAGCCATTATTTCTAAACACTTGGAAATGTATATATAAAGCAATATTTGATTTTATTTTCATTTCCTCCAGTAATCTGAGGAAATATCATGCTTTATAAAGCTTTTAAAATAATTAATTTTTCCACTTAAAAGGATAGCAGGAGCTACAAAGAAAATAATGAATTGATTACATATACATCTAGCACCTGGTTTGGAGAGTTTTAGGTTTGGCATATAAAGATACATAATTAGGAAATCACAGAATTAATTGATGTGAAGCTTTTAATACCCCCACTGAATTATGTTGTTTTTATTTATTGTAACAATTTTATCTATTTCAAAAATTATTTTAAGTTTCTCCATGGGACCATGTTTTATACAGCAGATTAATTTTTTCAATATTCAAAATGATTGAAGATCAATCCCCTTTCTTGGTGAAGAAACAGAGACTCAGACTTAGAGAATTTGTACGTTGTCTTTCCTTTAAAAAGGGAGCATACGATACTCAGTGTGTCCAGAGGAATTAAAAAGAGCATTCTCTGAGGAAGAAATTAAGTAACAGTAGAATGTTTCTTATGGATAAGTTTTAAGAAATCACAACCACTTTCAGAATAAAAGATTTCAGCCACTGGTTGAAGTAAGTAAATATACATTTAAAAGTAATCCTATAAATGACACATGTGTGCATTTAATGGAGAAGGTGAAACTATACCCTTCCTTCTCTAACATTGTGATTTTTTTTAATGCACTGCCTCTACAACACTGATAAACATCATATCTATCACTGTTCGTTTTTTTTTTTTTCTCTTTTAAACATCTCCCTTTTTAGTGTGTTGGTTTCAGAAACATTAAAGGTTGACTCCAAAGAAAATATTGCAGTAACACAGAGAAGCAAATTTATAATGACCTTTATTACCCTTCCTCACAGTGACATTTATGCAAAGGATCCATACTCTATTGATATTTATTTTTCTCTTTGCCTTTCTTTTGAAGAGTAAATGCAGGTAACTTTGCTACAAGTAGGTTACATATACAGTACAAGCCTCATTCAACTAGTAATCTTCACAATAGTTCTTGACTATATTATTAATTATTATAATTAAAACGGAGGTGTTATTAATACCTCCATTCTACAACTGACTAAAGTGATATATTAAAGATGGGATTATTTAACCTAGAGTCAAAGAATAACTACATGGCCAAGTTCTACTTCTTACTAGATTGGTCTAACTCAAATCCAACAATATTATAATTTCTACCCTGCATTGCCTTTGTACTTTGCCCTTCCATGGGTGATAGGAAAGAACATAATCAATCAGCTGGAGATGAGCAGGAACCGTGGCCCTAGCAGAAGAACGATGGACTCAGTATGTACACACATCCATAGGTTAGATGACGGCAGGAAAACCGTTGATCTTGTGAGTTCTGGTGTAACCTATCACAATTTCAGCTCTGGAGATTCTGAATTCTAAGAGCTGCTCACACTTTACTTCACCTTTGTAAGTCCTGAGTTTCTCATTTATAAAGCATTATACTTCTATAAAGAGATGCTTTGAATGAATAAAATGTGTTGAGCACAATACCTGGCACTTACAGTGCTTAATAAATTGTACTTATAACAACATTTGAATGATTAAGAAGAAGTAAATAAAATCAAGTTGGAAATAATAAGTAGTACACAGGGTAAAGGAAAACATGAAAAAGGAAAGGAAAGCAGACTGATATGTGATGAAGGGTATCAGTAGGACAAGCTGCGGAGGATGCATTAGGAGGGGCTGCACAGTTTAACTCAAATTTGTGTCTAATACAATTCATGTGGAAGCAGGAACTGGTAGAAAACTTTCAATTGCTTCACTTCTTACAGCTTGAGGATATGCCATGACTATATTATACATACTATATAGTAAATATATATAGTACGTAATATATATGGAAACACCTTTGTCTCTGTGTGTACATAATGCTTTCATAAAACTTCTGCACACTATCCTGTGTTTTCTAAATCATCTCTAGATTACTTTTAATTCCCAGTAAAATTTAAACTCCATGTAATAATATTACACTGCATTGTTTCAGAAATTATGGCAAGAATAGGCTGTATATATTTGGTACATGCACCATATTAAAGTATTTCTGATCCATGGTTAATTGACTATAAATGAAAATATATTTATATTTCCCTTTACTTTGTATCAAAAGGCTATTTCCTATATGAAAGACATTGAGGACTCAGAAAGAATGTGTTTCTGAGTTATAAATAAATATATGGCCTTCCATCTATCTAATCTGTTCATAGCTCTAACATTTATCTATATATCATCTATCTATCTATTTATCATCTATCTATCATCTATCATCTATCTCTCTATCATCTATCTATCATTTATCTATCTACCTACCTACCTATCTGTTCATCCCGATAGTCATCTATTCCACACCAAAGCATGCCCTCTATCAAGACAGAAGGCAGAGATAATAAGCAAGCTTCCTGTGGACCAAGTACTCCAATGACTTAAAGTTTCTGCAAAAGCACAGTAAAGAAGAATCAATGCTTTCTGCAAATGGGAACATATATCTTGTTCCCAGTCCCAGAAAAAGCATCTGAGTTGAGAAAGTTAGGGCCTGGGGGACAGCTGGAGAATATAGAGGGACCTTTGTGAGACTGAACTCTAGAGGAAGAAAATGAAAATTAGAGGGTCTTATTTCTGATGGTTTGGTGCCTTTGCTGATTCACAACCAGGGGTTTACATGTGGCAGTGGGAGGGACTTAGACACTGTGACTACAATGATTGTCCTTCCATGCTCTGGCTCTGTTGTAGACAAGGAGCCATACCTCCTACTCCCTTTATGTCTCCAGTGTACAGTACACTGTCTAGGTTTAGACATTTTTAAAGAAGAATAGGAGGTAATATTGGTTCCCTACTTATCTATATGCCATGTGTTATAATTTTAAAGTATTCTGTTGATACGGATTTTAGAAATATTCCCACTTCAAAGGTAAGAAGCTGTGAGTCCTTGAGCCAATTAATGACATCTTGAAATCAAGCCAACAGATTCTGAAGTCTATATTGTTTACAGCTACCAAGATTAAATAAGACCAACAGACTGGCTTATTGAGAGAAAAATGAATGGAAAGTTTTACAGTGAAAATAATTCCCCAAGGAATTGGAAATACAAAGTAAAAATTGGCTCAGTGTCAGAGACACTTCCAGGTGTATTATTTGTAACGAAATATTAAGGAAAACTATTTTTCAATAGGTGCACTTTTTCTTTAGGAAATCATAGTTTTATGCATTACTTTAAACTTACTAAGTTATATCCTACAAAGGAATTTAAGGGTCTATTCATGTTTCTAATGGGCCCAGATGACCAAATAGCTAGACCCAATAGAAATACTTTCATGAATTAAGAATTCATTGAAAATAGGTTGACCATGTGGGTGCCGACTTGAATCTCCACAATCATTCTTTTTAATATGGAAGCTGCTGCTGGAGTTCAACTTCTTAAAGCCCTTAGAAGAATCCCCTGTTACCTTGAGGGATAGTGTTTATGTTGGTGTCCGCGATGCGGATGTAGGACAGCCTCTTCATTCCCTGGAATGCTCCATTTTCAATTCCAGAGCTTTTCAGTGGGTTGGTTCCCAGTTCTACCAAGACAAAATTATTAGACCTTTACATGCCATTCTAGGATATCCACGCTTGCTTCAATGAGGATTCTAGAAAGAAATTTAGGTTAATAATGTCTTGAAATGAGAAATGAAAGCATATGCTCTTGGGAGGGATAACAAAATGAAATTTTGGCTTTTTAATATTTTATTTATTATTTTTATTTTTTATGGGTATGAGTGTATTGCCTGCATGTATATAAGTGCACCCATGTCATGCAATGTCCATGGAAGTCAGCAGAGGGTGTTGGATCACCTGGAACTGGAGTTACAGATGTTTGTGATGGGAACTTAACCCAGATCTTCTGCAAGGTTATCCAGTGCCCTTAACCACTGAGCTGTCTCTCCAGCCCCAAAATTTTGCCTTTTAAAACAAAGCCAGTTTGATAGCACAGGCCTACAATCCCAACACTCAGGGTGCTGGGACAGGAAGACCACCAGTTTGAAGGCAGCTTGGGCCATATAGTAAAATCTATATGAATGAATAAATGAATAGGTAAATCATCGCTAAAAACAAATATTTATGAAGAAACAACAGCTACAGCATTATTTACAATTTTCTCAAAAATGCCAAGCAAGTGTTTAGCATCATACCTTATGTTATTACTTTCCTAAAGCATTTTACAACATTGTTCAAGAATTTAAACCTAGCATTTTGTGATCCAGTTATAAAACTACATATGTTAACCACGCACATATCAAAACATTATGACACATTATTTGAAAGGCAAATAGTCTACAGATGTTACAGAATACAATCAAACTCCACTATAAAAAGGTTACCTCAAATATCGTGATTAAATGCTACCTTTGTTCATCCTGTGTCATCAGCCTAGACTTCCTCTGCATTCTCAGATCACAAAGGTCAAGAAAAAACTGTCAGGCCCAGGCTCACCATCCCCTTTCTTCTGGTCATGAAACTGCTCTTCAGACAGCACTTGAGCACACAGGCCCCAGCTTGGTTTTTTTTGTATTTTTTTTTCTGAAACTGAACTAAGGCTTACATGAAATCCCTTAACATGAACCTCAGTTCACGGTCTTCAAGTTATAAGCAAATATGTACCTATGACAATCATGTGGTTTAGTCCATTGAACACAGATTTTCGCACTTTGCTGATCTCATTCTCATGGGCGCGAAGCTCCTGCAGAGTTTTGGGCATCTTTTCTGGCAATTCCTTCAGATGGTTCTTAGACAGATAAAGTCGCTCCAGCTTCACCAGAGGTGTAAATGCTCCAGGGCTGATTTTATTGATTTTGTTGTTGACAAGGATCAAAGTCTACAGACAGTGAACAAAAAAGATTCCTGAAATCCAAAACTTTACACATATATACACATGACATACATTTAGTCAATACATCCATTCGTTTCATGGAACTAGCAAAAAAATTGGAAAATCACACAAATCAGAAGAAATATGGAAATGTGATAATCTCTTGTGTGTACTTTTATGCATTGATACTATATGGCTTGAAAAATGATGCCAAAGACTCATATTAGTAGAATGGTACAAACCACCAGTATCACAGACTTGCATCTGCCCATCAGCTTTTCCACTGGGGCACATCATCATTGACTACCATGAGCAGGTAGGTGCTGGCTTCTGCTCTCGCCAGTAATGCAGCATCACAAAGTGTGATGAAATCTTTCATGAAACTTTGATCAAGTTAATATAATTATTATATAGCTCATTAATTTGTGTTTCCTTGTCACTTGAGAGGGTAAACAAATTTTCTTTTGCTGTCTTACCTTTTATTGGATTGTTTTGGAAGAAAGTGGTTACCTGATCACAATTGCTTCTCATTCTTATTAAACTATACTATATTTTATCAGTTCTTTGAGGTATAGCTAAT